CACCAATCCACTACCATAAACCAATCATACCGTGAAACTATCTTCAAACTACGTAACTTGAATATAAAAATCATCAAAAAGAGAAACGATATTTCCTTCCTAAGACAGTGCCGCTCTGAAAAGCTAATTCCTAAATTTGTGAAGATCAAGTTATCGAAAAACTTAAACCAGTTTTCAGGTATTATCCAAAACATGCAGAAAAAACTCCTAAAAGCAACCCTGAATTCCAAATGTCAAGAACTGGACTATTTACAAAAACTCAAACAGAAATTAGACCACCAACTAGCCTGCTACCTCATTTGTATATTGCCGTAATCATCTGGTGACAAGGTTTTGTCATCATCAGGCACTTTTAAAAAATAGCGCGGAAACGTTGTGCATTTGCTGTTATGTTAAACTTATATTAAAGTTTTTCTTCATTACCCATTCAAGCCGTCTCCAGTCATTATTAGTCTCAAAGTGGGTTCCTCGTCATCGAATTTGAATACGAAAATTTACAGTATGTTTCTTGACACATTAAAGGTCTGATGTACTCCCTAAGGAAAATCAACACTAAATTTCTTGACAGATGTGATGTACTTCCCTGGAGAGTTAACTATGTTTCTTGACACACTTAAGATTTAATACTCCCTGAGGAGTGTCAGCAGTATGTTTCTTGACAGATGTGATGTACTTCCCTGGAGAGTTAACTATGTTTCTTGACACACTTAAGATTTAATACTCCCTGAGGAGTGTCAACAATATGTTTCTTGACAGATGTAAGATGCAACATGCTCCTCTAGAAAGTGAACTTAACTTATTTCAACAGTTTTCATTATTACGTATTCTAGATATTTTTTTAGTAACTTCTATAGATTTCAGCATTAAATAGCTCATTCAAGCTTTTACACTTGTATATATATACAATATTCAGTATATCCCCTTTCTTTTTTTCTGTGTGAATTACTTGTGTAGAAATTCTCATGTCTATGATGACTTGATTTCTGAAGTCCTCTCAAAATATTTCACAAAACAACTTGGAATCTTACCTGTAGTCTTTTGACCCTCACAGATAAAGAACAAACTGAAGAAATGATCATGAAGGAGCCTTAAAATTGTGGTGACCAAAAGGGGGATTTGGGGGGGGGGGAGGCTCTAAGGTTTGACTGAACTGATTTATTTGGAAAATTGTATTAATATGCAAGAAGCCATTCAAAACAATAATCTAAATTCAAAATTAGGAAATTTTCATTTAAGGTTTATATGTTGGGTGAAAGGTGTTTAGAGGGCGCTCTGGACTCTTAATTCAAAAATTACAAGAATATGTAAATTAGTCTTCACATTGAAACCAATAAAAATCTTTATTTTTGTTTTCATACTTATTTCCTTTAGTTTTACTCAAAAAATCTTTAAAAACCTTTAAGTAAATGTTTGTTTTAATCAAAAATGCAACTGAAAAATGTTACCATGATGAAAATGTGAAGACTTGCATCATATTTTCTGAGGGGGAATAATCCAGACTTCATTATCTGAATTTGCATGTTAAAATCTATCAATGCACACTAAGTAATAATTTTTTGTGTGGAAATTTTACAGATGGGTATAAACATTTTATTTTATTATTATTAATTCAAATGTAAATTAGTAATTACCATGATATATAACATAACTAAATATTTTGGTTTGTGAAACCACAATTTCTTCTATATTTTAGAAAAATGAACCTTGTATTTTTACAATGGCCTACTGGGAGGCCTGGTAAGTTGTTAATCAAAATATGGTTTGTACATTTTTTGTTAATTGTTGTTTCCAGTGTTTTTTCATCAGTACTTTACTAGTAACACAGACTTTTGAATTTCAGGTGCACAATTACCCTCCTCATTTTGAGTGATATGAATTTAAGTGAGAATCACAAATTTTACATGTTCAAATCTATTTCATATCCTAACCTACCTGGGCAATAAAGTATTTGTTTACCAAAAGTTGTTAAATGGACATTTCAACACTGTTTCGTGAAGTCGCATGTGACTTTGTACTTAAGCATTACTTGGGGCGAGAGTTTGAAAAAAAATATAACTATCATTTTGTTGCTAGTCATGCCAATCTGTTTATGATATAATGTCCATTCAGTTAATTACATTTCTTACTGCCATAAAGCTGTTAGCCTGATCTTGATCAGTGACAGCAATTAATTTTATTTATATATGTTTAAAATTATGCATTTTTTAGTAGGATAAATATTATACCTTTGTCCTAAGGAGGGATTTAAAACTTTTCATTTGTGTTTAGTGTAATTTAACTTTTATCCCTAAAACAATCACATCAATAAGTCATAGGAATTTTCATAAAATTATAGGCCTGTAATCTAGTAATAAGTATAACTCTTGATGTCATCCTATACTCTTCATTGACATAACCTGTCACTTGTCAAAGCTCAGAAGAGTATTGGTGGCACATAATTTAACACTTGTTTTTAAGTGTTTGTGATGTTGCTCATAATCATTTAATACCTATGTTTTTTTGTTTTCTAGTCCTGAGGTATTAGCAACATTAACCACGGATGTGGGGCGAATACTGACAAAATTTCATCAATTGCAGCCTAAAGGTTGCATTAACTTCTTGAGTGGAGTAAGAATTGCTCATGTGAGTTTAGTGTTATATATATTTTTTAATATTTACATATTCCTTCTGTACCATATTCTTAACAAGCTAGCAAAAGATTCATGGCTACTTGTATATCTGTCTGATACTTCAAAATAAATTTTTTTTGACGGTTATGCGAAGTTTCCAAATTTTTCTCTGTATCCAAAAAAAATCTGCTGAATATTCCTTTTTTGTTGCTAAGTTGTGATTACATTAAACATTAAAATTAATTCAGCATTTAAACTTCAAGTCTAATTTACATTTTCATTCTAATATTTTTTCTACTTGGCTCCAAAAAATGGAAAATTATTGTCATGTTAAGGAAAACTGTATACATAATGTATCTTTAATTATATCAAAAAGACTCGTGTAAAATTTGTTATTTGTAGCATGATGAGTTTGATTATTTATGTATGTCATTTGGCAGCTAGCACTCAAACATCGTCAAGGAAAAAACCATAAAATGAGAATTATAGTATTTGTTGGAAGCCCTGTAGAAGTGGATACTAAAGAGGTATGCTACTTTTTGGCTTACTTAAATATATGTGCTTGATAGCATATTTTTAGTAATTTATTGATTATGATGGCCTTTACAATGAGATAATTATCTTTTTATAGTATAGTTCTAAAACATTAAAGTTATAAATATGTGGTGTTTTAATAATTTTTCTTCAGAATGATAAATGTTGTAGTAATTACTGATTTAAAAAAATACACGCTTTTCATCATTGTGGGTAATATTTACAAAAGAGAAAAGCTAATATTTGAAACAAGTTTAGACATTACTAAGGTACATAAGTTTATCCAGTTACTAATAGATTTCTGGCAATAGATTTTAAAACATTTTTTACAGTGTGGGAACAAGCTGGGAGGAAGAATATAAAACAATTTTTACAGTGTAGGAACAAGCTGGGAGGAAGAATGTAAAACAATTTTTACAGTGTAGGAACAAGCTGGGAGGAAGAATGTAAAACAATTTTTACAGTGTAGGAACAAGCTGGGAGGAAGAATGTAAAACATTTTTACAGTGTAGGAACAAGCTGGGAGGAAGAATGTAAAACATTTTTACAGTGTGGGAACAAGCTGGGAGGAAGAATGTAAAACATTTTTTACAGTGTGGGAACAAGCTGGGAAGAAGAATGTAAGACATTTTTTACAGTGTGGGAACAAGCTGGGAAGAAGAATGTAAAACAATTTTTACAGTGTGGGAACAAGCTGGGAAGAAGAATGTAAAACATTTTTTACAGTGTGGGAACAAGCTGGGAGAAGAATGTAAAACATTTTTTACAGTGTGGGAACAAGCTGGGAGGAAGAATGTTACTTCTAATTTTCTATATATCATGAAAATAAGTAGGGATGCAGATTAAAATATGATTATTATCATAAAACAAAAATGTGTTCAATAAAAGTTTTACACCTCTGCCACCTAATGGTTCTTGTGTGATGTAAAAGATGTATTTAATGAACTATATAGTTATAGGTGATATAAATTCCTAAAATCATAGATTTATGTACGTGTAAGTTCATCAGTATATATGAATATTTATACAAAAAAGATCAAAAACATTCAAGTACAGCATCTTATATGTAATATTTACAACCCATGGTGTCTGTCTCCAGTTTACAGCGGCTGCTTCCCACCCTGCATTTGAAAGGCTGCACACATTCACTTTTGAATAATGTTGATGCCAAATTGTATTTCACAAGCAGGATATTCTACACTAACTTGTTAATAATTAATCACACTATCATTCACATGTCAAAATATGATGTAACTTAAAGAATAAAATGTAGATCTATCGATGTTATTGTCGAGTGGCTCTTAGCATGACTAACAATTACTCTTCAAGGTGGGCAATACAAGTAGCTCAGAGATTTGGCTCTGAGTGAAACCCAGAGTGCAACACAATTAACTTTTTAAAGTCCACGAAATAATTTAAATTGATAGATTAACTTAAACTTTTCCTGTCACTGGCGACGGGTAGTTCTGGTTGTTGTCTATAAGTTATAATTACTTATGAATTTTCTAAGCGTGTTGGTATTTCACAGTTTTACAAATTTAACTAACTCTAAAGTAACCAAAGTGTTTTCAGTATATAACTGTCCTCCCTAATGCACACTATTATTGAATATGGTTGACCTATGTATAGTTTCTGTGCTTGGGAATGTTGAACAACATTTCTATAAATATACACCTGTAGACAAAATACTGGATTTAAGTGGAAAACAAAGCTGAACATTGTCAACATTATGATAGGTCTAGGTCTATTTTATTAAATATGAACACAGATTTTAATTTATCCAATATTTTATTCAAAGAACTTTGCCAGTTATAGTGAATATTGAGCATGAAATTAAAATATGATCATCAAGTATTCAATATTATCTGTAAAGGAATTCTAAGTTTTGTCTATGTTTATTTAATTTCTGAACTCCTCAACAGTTTTTGATAAAATATTTTGAAAGTTTGTGCTCCTGACTTCATAGAATGTAAATAATTTTTTAAAGAATCACATGGTGTCTAAACATTTGAGGAGTCAATGAGCTCTTAAGTTTAACTGAACTGATTTGCATGAAAGTTTGTACTAACATATAAGTAATCATTCAAAACAATAACTTTACTTAAGCTCAGGTTTTGGAAATTTGAAAGTTGAACCCCTATATGGGGTCAAAGGCAGTTGGGAAACTTCAGGGCTGTATCCAGGGATTTGCATGAAAATCAGCATGTATGTGTAAAGTATCATTAAAGACAATTATCCACATTTATATTTCCAAACTTTTTATGGTGGGGCCTCCAAAATATGGATAAAGTTTTTTTTAAATTCTTGGGATTGGCTGTGTTGATTTACTTAAAAATAAAAAGAATACATAAATTATTATTCCAAACAAGATGTTCAGAATGTTTTCACAGTTGTCGTTATTTTTACAGGTAACTTATTAGTTGTTATTGATGTTTTAGAAGTTCACATTTATGAAAAAAATACTCTAAAGAATTATGTTATTTGTGTCATAATGTGGATAATTGTTTGTTTTTTTATCCACACTTCTCAAAAAATATGTTCATTGCCTTTAGCTTGTGAAGGTGGCAAAACGACTGAAGAAGGAGAAAGTTAATGTAGATATCATCAATTTTGGTGAAGATGTAAGTAGTTTGTGTACTGAAGAAATTTTTTCTAACAAATGTTTTTTAATTCCAATAGTTAAGTAAGGACAAATATGAAATTTATTCCTTTTAATATCTTGGTTCAAACAATTAACACTAAATCAACAGTGGAAATTAAGAGTAGTGTAATAATTTAACCATCAACATACATTAAAATTTGCCTACAGTTGTTAGAAAACATTACATACTATTTGAAAAGAAAGGAAGAAAACCTTTCCATTTTACAAAACATTATTAAATTCACATAATTGAATGACTGGACAATTGTCTTGTACTTAAGTAAAGAAATTACTGGAAATAATAGAAACAACATCAAGTTCAGTTAGTTATTAGTAAGAATAAGTGTATTATATATATTTTAATCATTGGAATGTTTCACCTTTTGAGTTGATAATACAAAGACACTTTTCAGTGTATGTAAAATTCTTATTCTCTTAAAAAATTACTTGTTTTCTGTTTGAATGATATTTCCCAAGTTTTGTGTAAAAATTTTTTTTTAAATTTCATATAGTTGCTTATTTAGTGACCAAACTTTGCGTTGAATAAATTAAGTAACTTAGTCTCAGTCATTTGATTTATTACAGCGTTAACATTTTTTCACTGAATTACATTGATTTTATTAAGCTGTCTTCATTGGGCTCTAGTTTAATAAAATGGTATATTCTCTTTATCAACCAATGGAAGTACCTACAAATCTGTATGTGTATATAAAAATATCTATTTTTGATATTACATCGGGAGGAAATGGTTAACAAAAATCACTCAAAATTGGAAAATCTGTGCTGAACTTTTTGGTTTTCAAAAAATTATGGACATCATTTATACATTTTTCAGCTACAATATTGTACTCTTTCTGATTCAGTATATATACGTGCACGTTCTCTGATAAATATTACAAAGTGTTAAGCATCAGTTATAATTTATTATTGACAGAATGTTATTTAAAATTATTGTGAATGATAATCCTTTGTAAAATACTTTAGATGACTTCATTACCTATTTATTACAGCATTGCTGGTGGGAATAGGAAAATAAGTGTAATGTCATATTAAGTTCCATAATATGATGTATGAAGATTAGGTTTGTTTAACCTGATTTCCTTTTTTTATTTAGACTGTCAACACTGAGAAACTTACAAATTTCATAAATGCCCTAAATGGTAAAGAAGGTGGAAGGTATGTGAACTATTATGATTTTGTATACTGTAAAAGTTTATCACTTATTGTAACTCAGGTAGAAATAGGTATATAATAAGATCAAATAATCACTGCATTGAACTGGTGATTTAATGAAAATTTTTAAGTATGTTATTCTTCTTTATTGTTATCCAGTGGTTAATGCAGGGTGCAGGCATGGTGTTAGCTATTTTACTGACCCAGACAAGTTTGGAGTCTGCTGCCACATGTTACTTACAATTGGGCATCATAACTACAGGATACAAATCACATTAAATTTATCTATTAAATTTTAAGAAAACAATAAAGTACAGCTACCGTTACAGTTATAAACGTTTCATTTCTTTTCTTCTTTTTTTCTGAAATAGCATATTGCTTGCTTCAGGTCAAATTCTGTGAAGTTTCATGCTCAATTGAGATTACTGCCAGTCCAATAAATTTGTGTACTGTGGTTAATAACAGGTTAGTTTTAACCATTTTGAATTTTGAAAAACTTCTTTCGTACTAGTGGTGGTGAAGTACAAAGTCAGGAAAATCATGAGTGTGACAAATCTGTCGGGAAATGTTATTCTATTTGTGCACATGTATTCCAACACACTTTTCTTAGTCATTCTATTCGTGCACATGTATTCCAACACACTTTTCTTAGTCATTCTATTCGTGCACATGTATTCCAACATACTTTTCTTAGTCATTCTATTCGTGCACATGTATTCCAACACACTTTTCTTAGTCATTCTATTCGTGCACATGTATTCCAACACACTTTTCTTGGTCATTCTATTCGTGCACATGTATTCCAACACACTTTTCTTAGTCATTCTATTCGTGCACATGTATTCCAACATACTTTTCTTAGTCATTCTATTCGTGCACATGTATTCCAACACTTTTCTTAGTCATTCTATTCGTGCACATGTATTCCAACACTTTTCTTAGTCATTCTATTCGTGCACATGTATTCCAACACACTTTTTCTTAGTCATTCTATTCGTGCACATGTATTCCAACACACTTTCTTAGTCATTCTATTCGTGCACGGAATGACTAAGAAAAGTGTGTTGGAATACGTATTCGTGCACGCGTATTCCAACACACTTTTCTTAGTCATTCTATTCGTGCACGCGTATTCCAACACACTTTTCTTAGTCATTCTATTCGTGCACGCGTATTCCAACACACTTTTCTTAGTCATTCTATTCGTGCACATGTATTCCAACACACTTTTCTTAGTCATTTTACTTACTCTATGTTGCAAACATTTCAGCAGTTGTCTTCAGTTCTGTTTTGACAAATCTGCAATGCAATATAGTAAATTGAACAATGACTTGTGGTCCTATAGTTGCTGAAACATACAGATTCGTTGGCTGAAATTAACCTTCAAGTTTTGCAGTGGACCATAGACAGGTTCATAACAATTTTTGTGTGAAAAGTGTCTTCTTTTTTAGTTAGTGAATCTACTGTGCTCACAAAAACCTTTCATTAATTTTTTTATGATGGTTTCTGCATTCACCAGTTCATTTGCAAAGCTGTCATCTGTCCTGAATTGATAGAATCAGACATATGAAGGAAGTCTTTTATAGTTACAGAAGTGTTAAGATCACTGCTAGTGAGGGTGATCATGTAGAGTAAGTCTCAGCATACCACAAGACTAGTTCACAGATTTGGAGCTTATCTTAGCAACAAATCCTTTTTCTTTAAAAAGTTACTTAGCTTCACTGTCTCTTTGTGTGTGTGTGCGTTGTCTTCTTCAGTAAAGACTAATCCATCATAGACTTCTTCCAGCTGGTGTTAGAATTCAAAAACAGCATCAGTTGTACTTTCCAATCAAGTGACACTGAGAAGCACAGGATTACTGATCAGGAAGTCCATGGTTCAAGCCTCAGTGTTGCTAAACGCACTTTCAACTGGTTTCTTGTCAATCCCATTATTAGTTTCCAAGATTCAGATGTGGTGGTGGGTTTTGCTGACTGGCTTCTTTACCTCTGTTAAGTTGTTCAGAATTGAATATTGCTCTACCTAAACCCTAAGAGTATCTGACCTGGTTGTGTAATTCATATGCAATACCAAATATTTAGTAATATCATGTTTGGCTATTAGATAAGTAGCTGGTTATAGCATCTGTCTAAGCTTAACCAAATAGTTTTGCACTTGTCCTCGATTAGATATTATCTCTGTGGATCCTGAAGGAAAGGTTGGAATAAAATTTGAGAAATTAATTGGTATGAAATATATTGTTGAATCTTGAGAATATTCATTTATTCTCATCATTCTTGTTCATATTAAGGTTGCAGTATGCACTAATTAACTACTCATTGCTGTTGTATTACTAACTGAAGTGGGCTTATATATACATAAAAAGTAGTGTTACACACTAGTAAGGTGATTTTCATTGTAGTGTTCTCACATTGTTCTGTGTTTTGTTTTTATAGTTTAGTCTACCACAAAACTTTCAGTGATTAAATATAATTGGATATGTATGGTATATTTTATGTTTTTGTTTTGTTATTATTATTTAGTCTACCACAAAACTTTCAGTGATTACATATCATTGGATATTTATAGTATATTTTACGTTTTTGTTTTGTTGTTACAGTTTAGTCTACCACAAAACTTTCAGTGATTACATATCATTGGATATGTATGATATATTTTACGTTTTTGTTTTGTTATTATAGTTTAGTCTACCACAAAACTTTCAGTGATTACATGTAATTGGATATGTATGATATATTTTATGTTTTTGTTTTGTTTTTATAGTTTAGTCTACCAGAAAACTTTCAGTGATTAAATATAATTGGATATGTATGATATATTTTATGTTTTTGTTTTGTTATTATAGTTTAGTCTACCACACAACTTTCAATGATTACATGTAATTGGATATGTATGATATATTTTATGTTTTTGTTTTGTTTTTATAGTTTAGTCTACCACACAACTTTCAGTGATTAAATATAATTGGATATATATGGTATATTTTATGTTTTTGTTTTGTTTTTATAGTTTAGTCTACCACACAACTTTCAATGATTACATATAATTGGATATGTATGATATATTTTATGTTTTTGTTTTGTTTTTATAGTTTAGTCTACCACACAACTTTCAGTGATTAAATATAATTGGATATATATGGTATATTTTATGTTTTTGTTTTGTTTTTATAGTTTAGTCTACCACACAACTTTCAGTGATTAAATATAATTGGATATATATATGGTATATTTTATGTTTTTGTTTTGTTATTATAGTTTAGTCTACCAGAAAACTTTCAGTGATTAAATATAATTGGATATGTATGGTATATTTTATGTTTTGTCAGAAAGTCTTGTTGAGAACCCTTCAAATGTATCAATAGTAAAATACCAGTGAACAAATTATGCAATATTTTGAATGTCGAAGGTAATTTGTTTTGTCGATTTTATACTTAAACATACACCTTAGTCAATGGATCAGTTATTCTGTATGCAAAAAACTTGACTTGCGATGGTTTTTGACTACCATTGAGAAAAAAAAAAATATTGTGTCAATTTGAGAAGGACACTGATGGCTTTATTTCTTACAGTTCACATTTAGTGACAGTTCCTCCTGGGCCACATCTTATGGATGCCTTGATCAGCTCACCAGTCGTCCAAGGAGAAGATGGTACGGGTGCTGTCAACATCGGTGGTTCAGGATTTGAATTTGGTGTTGATCCTAATGAAGATCCTGAGCTGGCTCTTGTTAGTAATCATAAACTTACTAACTTTTCTCAATTTTCTGTTAATCCAATTATTTTCATTTCAGTGAATTAATTATATTGATTGTCTGCTTTATTAAGATTCTCCCACACCTAATGCTTGATGTTCAAATTTGCAGAGTTAATTCTGAAACTAGTAAGACTTCTTTGATTTATTTTTTTTTTTACTATATTATATCCACCAAGTGTAAAAGTGTATATTCTAATAAGATGCTGGGATTTTGTGTGTGTTTTTAGGCTTTACGAGTCTCTATGGAAGAACAGAGACAGAGACAAGAAGATGAAGCCAAAAAAGCATCTACCCAATCTGCAATGGAGATTGAAGGTTCACAGTCAGCTCCAACCCCTGCTACTGGTAATGGTTTGTTTGTTATGTTTGAGTTGGAAACAATTATAAAATAAGATGGCCTATTTTAACATTCATATCTCAAAAGTAATGACCTTTAATATCTGTTATATGCCAAGGATAATTGTTATCTGGGAGGTGGGGGTTGATGGTGACAGTTTCATGTAGGATGGTGAATAAATCCAAATATGCCAAAGTTCATTCTACCTTTTCAAATGTTTCCTAACAAGTTTTCTTGAACTTTTGAATGTGTCTTAACCGTATCAAGGTAGGTCTTTCTATGGTCATGGGTCAAAGGCCGTGTCATCATGTATGTAGACTTGCATTCAAAATTTTATTGAACTACTATATTATGAATGTGTGTCATTAAGTTTGGTATCAAATTTTAGATTATAATTCAAATTTTAGTATAATGCATTAGTTAATATCTTAATTTAAAAGTAAATATTTAAAAAAAATTCCTAAATATCAATTTTTGTGTATCACGTGGTCAGTTGAATGCAGCTTTGGTTTGGATCAGGTGTTTGTGATGTCCAAATACAAGAGTTTCTTATGAATTGAAAATTCAAATTAACAATATTGACAAACTAGAATATAAAATAAGAAATTTGAAGCTTAAAATTTATGGATATAAAAAACTTAAGAAATGAGATTAGTAAAAATTGTTAACTTGAAATATACAGTAACAAGTTACAAAGATAGT